TAAATCAATCAAATTAAATCAATGCTTTAAATCAATGTTGGAAAATACTTTTAAATATATCTTTAAATAAAGCGATTATTTCTAAACAAAAATGAAATAATCAAATCAAGACCATCGTTTTTGTACCTATTTTATCTTCATTAAAATTGACCCTATCTAGTAACAATTAGAAAATCAATAGTTAGTGTCACTAGAGCGTTTTTACATTTTCATCTAGACATGCAGGCAGATACCACAATAGGCTTATACGCCACAATTACTATTAAAAAACACAAATATTCAGTAATGCAGCCTTAACAGTAATTCTTTTGTTATAGCAAACGGAAACGTACAGGAGGTCCACTCTTTGTATGGTACCACGGAAATAATACACCCACATTGTTTAGTGGTGTTAACAAACTTGTATGGTAATTACTTTTCTATGAATTGTTATCTATTCACCATTATATTAGAGATAAAGAATTTCGCAATTTTGCAATAAAATATAAATCATCACCATTAGGAATAGATCCGATGATTACCTACTTCTTTAACTGGTATTATTAATTATCATTATTAATAATATTATTACGCATTCATTGAATCACAGTAATACTTGTTTTTAATTTAAAATAATAACGTCTTTGTAATCAAAATGTATGTTGGTGTTATCGTCATATAGTGTACACATACCTTACATATTTACTTTATCAGTAGTATTAGTTCTATAGTGTTCATTGACTTTAAGGTACACATGACTGCCTCTACTTTTCTGTGATATGCTCTCTTCACTCTCAAGGTGTAAATAATAAAAATATAATAAAATTCTACCACATTCACACATCGCCATTTAATCCCAAACTAAGCAGAGCTTGTACTATGGCTACTAGACAACTGATTAAAACAAATATATACTTTTTTTGTGTAAATACACACATATTATACATAGAAACACCCAGACCAAATCAAACATTAAATGTTCATACACACAAATGTTTGACATTAGCCGGAACCGAACTCGCGAACTTTGGAATAGCAGTCCGTTACACGAAACACTACGTCATCCGGTCATCCATATATTTGTATATATTTAAATACACTCAGATCAGAGTTATAATCCACCTCTAATGTTTTCAATTACAATGCCACAACTTTTCAATTACAATGAATATAACTTCAAGCGATAACATACTTAGAGATTTAAGTGATAAAGACCTCAAGAACTGCGTTTTGTATAAATATTGCGACATGGGCAGTGTATCCGACAAACAAGATGCAGACAATTTAAGTCCTCAGGATATGGACATTGAAGAAACTCATCACGTCAGTTCTATACCTTCAAGAAACATGACGTTTACCCTGACACACAGCATATTAGACTTATGCATAGAAAAAAGAACAAAAACCAAACCTGCGACTGCAATAAAAGATCCAACAATTAAGTTGGATGACTTTATTAATGTAGAGTGTAACAGTTATTTAATAATTTTACTCTCATTATATTTTCAGCCTACCATCATCCCTGAGGCAAGGAAAATATGTGAGACACCTAAATTCCAAATTTAACTCCAAATTCCAACTACACATATTTCGGGTAAGTTTTGAAACATTTATTGGCCTAACTAATTTTTTTTTCTTTTTCTTTTTTTTTTTGTTCACTACTTCTGTTACTACCTTTGAGGTCCGTAGCGTGAAGTTGTGCATACGTGTATATTCAGTGTGTTTTTTTATCCCAGTACTACTGGTGTAATTTACTTGAAACTTAACTTAACTTATGAAGTTTTATGTACCCTCCATTTTTTATATATGTTTATATTATGTCGAAATAACTTTTATAATAATAAATTTTATCAATCCATTGGATTACTGTGTTAATATTCTAAAGATAATATAACTTGTGTCTGAATTTTTTTTGTCAAAATAACTCTTATAATAGTAAACTTTGTCATTTCATTGGATTACTGTGTCAATATTCTAGAGATAATATAACTTGTGTCTTGAATTGTGAAACAAGAATATCTTTGTCTTTAGTTGAATTTGCTTCTCAAGTTTTGAGAAATTACTTAATGTTTTAATATTTTATTTTAGTATTTTTTAAAATATTAGTGTACTTTAGCTTTCTCACACTTGATAGTGAAGAAGTATACTCAGTAGCATTATTTTTTTACTTTGAAATATTACTTAATGTTTTAATATTTTATTATAATATTTTTTTAAATATTAGTGTGCTTTAGCTTTCTCACACTTAATAGTGAAGAAGTATACTCAGTAACATTATTTTTACTTTGAAATATTACTTAATATTTTAATATTTTATTATAATATTTGTTAAAAATATTAGTTTGCTTTAGCTTTCTCACACTTATTAGTGAAGAAATGTACTCAGTAGCAATATTTTTTACTTTGAGATATTACTTGATATTTTAATATTTTGTTATAGTATTTTTAAAATGTTTAATTTACTTTAACTTTCTCACACTCTGTTAATAGTGAAGAAGTCTACTCAATATCTTTATTTTTTTGCTTTTTTTTGAACTGTAAAAGACATTAAGTCTGCATTACTAGTTTGTTAACTTGTTAAGATTATTTTTTTGTATAATCGAATTTAAATTGTAAACCACCATGGCACATTTACGTAAGTGCATTCGTTACTTTAAAAACGATGAACTTATTAATGAACTGTCTGCCATGGGGATTTCAGTGAATCCTGATGATGCGGTTGACGGCTTGCGAAGTGAGATGCGTACTGCTTTGCGGCTTATCCGGCGTGGCTGCTTTAAGGCCATCGCCGCTGTTCCTGCCTTTGCCGCCTCTGATATTGTCTGTCAGCGGGCTTAAGGTCTTTAAACAGGAACAGGTTTTTTCTTCAGGTGACTCCGTTTCGTATTATAAATTGTCTTATTAGAGTTGGGGCTAAATACCTTCTAGATAGGTTAGCCGGTGTAGTTTTAACTGTCTAGACCTTCTCAGGACATCCCTTTGTGACCTGAGGGGTCCATTCACTACATTTCCTACATGGGAAATGTTCTTTCAATTGTGGTCTCGGACTACGTCAAAATTTTTCTTATTTGTGTCCCATGAGGATTGCTTCCGGCCTACTGTCGTGCTGGGTCCCATATGGATGGCTTCAGGTTATGTCATGTGGTGTCCTATATGGATAACCACAGGCTTTGTAGTCGCGATTCATAGTATAGAATGTTTTCCTAAACCACGGGGTTCGTAAAACCACTTATAGGGATTTTGGCCCTGTTGAGGATATTCCCTGCGCACACTACGCAGGGAATACTTTGAGGGAGGGGGTGGTGTAACAGTTATTTTTTTGTACATTTGTAATGCGTACGGTCTTGTTAAAAGCTACATCTATTGGCCGCGTTGCATTGTTGTTGATTTATCTAAGGTAGTTTATAACTACAGTATTGATCTTCTGTGTTCACTGATGTTAAATGTCAAAGTAAAATGTTGAGTAGGGATAAAGTCTGGAAGCTTCCTGAACCTAGGATATATAAGTCCGGCTTTCTGCCACGGGAGACACTCTGCTATCTCGTCTCTTCCAATCTTAAATAGTGTTTTGATTGTTGTGTGATTTAATTTTCGTAATATATTATCTGTTCAAATCTACCCACTAAAGTGGTGAGTATGGTCTTAATTCTTCTTAAACCTATTTGTTTCTGGAACCTGATTAATTATATGAGTGCTAATCCATTCGTAGGGTCCCAGATTTCGGGGTCAAGACGGTCAGTCTCAGACGGCGTGCTTGCTCTTTTGTGGCCTTCTGGTTCAGACTCAAGTTACTCGGTACCCTCTGGCAAAGCTGGTGATTGCGCGGCTCACGACGCAAGCGGACAGCCGTACCCAAGAGTTACGTACTTAAACTTATAATTGCAAATTGTTAAACTTTTATCCATATCTAATATAAATAGCCGACTCGGGCGGAAGAGGAAGTACCCTCCTGGTGGGACGACGAGGTGGCACCGAGCACCATCAGCTCGGCTCTAACGCGCTCCGCTGCAGTTTTTTTTTCTTTTACTTGTACCCACACTGATTAATTTATTTAATTTCTTATTGTAAATTTGATCTACTTTTTTTTTTGAAATATACATGTATGTATAACTGAGGTGTAAGTTGTTTTCCTCTAAAGAGTCCCATAGGTTTCCCACACGCACACACTTCTATTCTCATACAAGGCGCCCTGAGGTAATCTCTTGAATCTCTCCACTGGGTCAGCCGGTGAGTAGTCCGCCAGAGAGGAAAAGCGGCTACAAGAGTCGTATAAGAATACTGCAAATAGTGTTTTGGAAGCTGATGATTTAGATTCTTTATTAGAACAATTTGAAGCCATCGAATTAAACACTAAGAAACAATCGGAACTGGTCGTCAATGTTGAAGGCACTAAAAAGATCAGTTATAACTACTGCTCCCCTGAAAAGTTGCACAGTGATCTAAAGAAAGGCCAAAAGAGTTTATCAAAACCCCAAGAGTTGTCCAGTAACATATATAAAGTATGACGAGATATATAGTATGACGATATAAAGTTTAAAGATAAGACTAGTAGAAAACGGAATGCAGAGCCCCCTTCACAGTCAAAATGTTGTGAATTTTTTTTATCCCCCATAGTAATAGTGTAAAGAACGACGTTATTGATCTTATTTTAAAAAAAAAGAGGGACAGTTCTGTGCTGCTCAAAGGTGCTTGTAACACGAATGATGATTGCAATCAAAATTATAAAGGTAGCCTTAAAATAATAATCAGGAACCAATCTGAAGTTGTACTAAACTGTGACTCTCAGAAAAATAATAAAAAAATAGAGCAGATACCCAAATTATTAGAACACAAAACCAAGAAGCGTTCTTTTGACGATGAAGTCAACAAATGTATGGAAGAATCTATACAAAACGAATTAAGAAATATAGAAAGAATAAAATTCAACAGACAAGAAAATACTGATAGTCACAATCAATATTGAAAAGCAAAATGAAAAAATTATAAAAGAATCAGACAGAAGTAAAAGGATAGTTGTGAATATGGCAAGTGCTGCAGTTGCTGAAGAAGAACCAAGAACGGAAAAAAAACAGATACCTATGGAATTAAAAGCCAAGAAAATACCTTACGGCGATGAAGTTAACCATTGCATGGAAGCAACAACAACAAAGGTACAACCACCGGTAAAAAAAAAACAAACTTAATCTCCAGGAGTATACGTTAAGAAGAGGTGTTCCTTCTAACACTACTGTTTCCGACATGTACCTGCAAGGTACAGATCTGCAACTGTACAAATAAGTTCCGAGGAGATATTCCCTAACGAAGCCCTGGCCCAGATAAAGCTGACAAGTGTCGTATAATACAAACGGTATCTAATGGATTATTGAAGGCTGAACAACAAGCAAAAACTCTTTGATCCAATTGAAGAGGCTTCCAGACGTTTTAATGAATTTGAAAACAAAAAAGCTTGAAGCGAGTAGGAAGAGAAATAAGGATATAGTTAAGAGCGGGATACCTAAAGTTGAGAATCTTCAAATAGAACCTGTCGAGTCTGCATTATCAAAAATTGTAGGAATGACCAAGCTTCCGGTGGCATCCTTCGTTACTAGCTAATGATAAAAAAAATGTTTTAATCAGTATTAGAGTCAACACTCATGAAAACACCCTTTCATTGTGTACGAAAAGGTGAAAGCAACCTCATCTTTACGACTCGACATTTTGAAAATTAAGAAGAAACGTTATACAGACTTACACTCTCTTACACGCTAAATTGAAAAACTTGTTGTGAAGAAAACTCCTGAAAAGCCACTTTTATATGTTGTCTTCTCTGGGTTCGCCTGATTGCAGACGTTCTGATGGCGTTCAGATTGACTTCTGTGTAATTCCTTTATTTCACGAAATAGTCTAGCCCAAGCATAGCTCCTTAATAGCTCCTAGCATATTAAGCTGTGGGAGTTAGTGGTGCAACTTTACCTTTTGCACACAGTAAACGAACCGTCACGCTGACTCATTTTTCATGAATGCAACTGTTACAGCAAACTTTTTGAAAAAACTGAAAGTTACGTTTCGTAAATTACACAGACATCTCCCTAGCTGGCTTAGTCAGTATCGGAATCCTAGGCATAGACATATCGAGCGAAGTCCAGATTTGGGGTCACTTAGGTAAAAATTGGGGTAAAGTCAAATTGGCCTCGAAGAGGCTCAGTGTGCTGAACAGATCGAGGCAGTATTTCACTCCGGCCCAACGCCTTCAGCTCTATAAGGCGCAAGTCCGGCCGCATATGGAATACTGTTCTCATCTCTATGCAGGGCAGGGCACCTCTGGACCGTATCCAACGAAGAGCGACTCGAATCGTCGATAGGCCAAACATCTCCGATCGGCTCGATCCCTTGGCGTTACGTAGAGAAGTGGCTTCACTCTGCATTCTCTATCGCATATATCATGGAGAGTGTTCCGAGGAATTGTTTGGACTAATACCAGCCGCAACTTTCCGTCATTGTTTCACACGGAAAAATTTTCATCCTCATCACCTGGATGGTTGGCGCTTCACTACTGTGCGTTTTTTGGCACACTTTTTGGCCCGCACAACCAATGTGGAACGGGTTATCGTCTGCGGTATTTCCGGACCGATACGACCTTGAAACCTTCAAGAAACGAGCGTACTCCTTCCAAAAAGTCCGGCAATTCATGGGCGGCGATGGTCACTTTCCATCAGGTAACCTAACCTAACCTCCATCAGGTATCTATTCTAATTATAGAGCATTATCTCTAAATCGCTTTCTTTACACAAAATTATGTATTAAATTATATACTAATTCTTGTTAGTAATAATATTTCATTGACAAAAGGTAGACATTACCTTTCTAATTATTATAAGAGACAGATAGCAATTATTTTTCCATTACAGCCAAGAACTTGGCTAAAATTATTGCTTCTATTGAGCAAATTGACATTACCCATAGCGACTTTGCCAATCCAGATATTTCTTTAGACATTTATAAAAATTGAAATGACATATCTAATAAGTTACATAATGATGAGATTGACATTTCAAATAATTTAAATTTACTGATAAGACAATAGAGACTACCTCTGGCACTATTAATTTGAACACTAATACGAGTAGAAAGTTAAATCGCAGTAAATTTATTAAAAATAATAAGATAAATAATATAAATTTTGGTGCATCAAAACATTAGAGGAATGATGGGCGAAGACTTGGAGGTGGAACTGTTCATGAACTGCAATGCAATTGATATGTTTTGTATTACTGAACACGGGCTAAAAGGGGATCAGTTTATGTACAATTTTGACCAGGTAGGCAGCTCGTTCAGCTGAAGTACAGCAATACATGGTGGCACTATGATACTCATTAATAAGAAACTTAAGTTTAAAGAGCGCCATGACTTTGTTAGTTTATCAGTTGAGCGAACTACAGAAATAGCCTGTTTAGAACTAAAAGGTTTCATAGTAGTATGTGTATACAGACCTCCTTCAGCTATGTATGATTCTTTTGAACGTGTTATGGATGAAGTATTAGTTAAAGTAACAAGATCAAAAAAGAAGGTCATCATCTGTGGTGACTTTGAAGTCACCACAGAATATTAACCCATTGAAAAATTTAAGTATAGTAAACAAGTTCAAGGCACTTTTTCAATCATACAATCTGTAGAACTTGTTCTTGGAGCCTTCACAAATCACTGCCACCACTGCCACATATTTGGACAATATATTTACAGATATTGTAATTAAGGACAAGAAAATAATCAATCAATTACACTCTGACCACTGTGTTCAATTAGTATCTTTCTGTGATAGGTATGAAAAACTGTCAGAAAAAAGAATTGTGGTGATACCTAAAACCGCAAAGCGTTGTGAAAACTTTAAGGATAAACTTAAAGCTGCTTTTAATAATTCAGTACTCTGTGTAGAGAATAACCCTAATACTTATTATAATAGTTTTTTTGAAACTTTCTCTTCAACATTTAACACCATTTTTACACCAAAAACGCTAGTGGTTAAAGGTAACGCCACATTTAGTGAATGGGCTACCCCTGGCTTACTCAAAAGTAGGAAAAGATTATATACGAGCTATACGATGAGAGGAATTATAATAAAAGTGAACAGTTTCATAATTATGTTAAAGAATATTCGAAGCTGTTTAGGAAACTTTGTAAACTGGCTAAGTCTCGTTTTATTAGTTCAAAGATTAAAAGTAGTAATGATAAGATTAAAACCACTTGGCAAATTATTAATAGTGAAACTGGCAAAGATCAATACCGTGACAATGAATTTACTAGTAATTTAAACATAACCAATAAATTTATCACATCAAATGCTGAGGTTGCTGCTGCATTTCAGAATTTTTTTTACTAACATTCCTGTATCAACTACTAAATCTTTGACCTCCTCACCATGCCTTGCAGAATCTATTTTAAAAGAGAATGTTAGAAGAATTGATAGTGAATTTAAGTTCCAATATGTGTCCCCCTTTGAAATTATTAAAGCCTTTAACACTATTAATGTTAAAAAAACAACCGACCTATGGGGAAAGTCTGTTTTAATTACTAAGACCATTATATCTCTCGTGGCTAATCAATTGTCATTTACATTTAATCAATATAATATAATATACCTCACACATCTCACACACGGCCGTCTGATCCCAAACTAGGCAGAGCCTGTGCTATGGTAACCAGACTGCTGATAAACATACTTATATATTTTTAAATACATACATATTATAGATAAATTACACCCAGACACAGAACAAATGATCGTGCTCATCACACAATATTTGTCCTGGGTGGGAATCGAACCCACGACCTCGGGCTTAGCAGTCAGGGTCACTACCCACTAGACCAACAGGCCCGACCAACAACAATGTGTTGATAGTTGTGTATTTCCTGATCTTATGAAGTCTAGTAAAATTATTCCCTTATTCAAATCTGGTAGTACATATGACCCAACTAACTTTAGACCTATCTCAGTACTACTAGTTTTTGGCAAAATTTTTAAAAAAATTATGTATGATCAATTGCAAAGTTTTTTTAATAATAATAATTTATTATACAACAGACAATTTGGTTTTACAAGGGGTCGCTCCACAACTGATGCCAGTGTTGTGAGCTAGTAAAACATATATTTTACGCCTGGGAGGATGCCCACGATTCTCTAGGTATCTTTTGCGATTTATCTAAGGCTTTTGATTGTGTTGTTCATGAAATTACAGCACTATGGTATCAAAAATAAAGCCCTGGAACTACTTGCCTCATATCTATGTAATAGGATTCAAAAAGTTGCAGTTGATAGACATAATGCAGATGTATGATATTAGAGAGGGTGGGCTACGCTGGAAATCGGCGGCGGCCGCACCTTCTGGCGGTGCCGCGCGCCCGCACTAACTAACTTAACACTCAACCTCATAGCTGACGATGTGGATATATTTTGTTGTTCTTTGAGTGAATTCACAATTATAGCACTAAGTAAAATTTGTTAATTTAGTTTAGTTTAGCTTAAATTTAATTAATGTATTATAACTACAATATCGCATTGGAAAAATTCTGTAAAGATATTGTAAGAAAAAATAAATGAATAAATAAAAGTTGATATTAATGGTGAGCGGTCTCCATGCTCTATGGTAGAAATGGGCGTTCCACAGGGTTCTATTCTCGGCCCTTTTTTGTTTTTAGTATATATCAAAGACTAACCTCACCTTGTCAAGGACAATCTCGAGATTGTGTTGTTTGCAGATGATACATCACTATTATTTAGACTAAAACGGACACTTTCTGATTTCACATTCGTAAACAGCACCATTTCGAAAGTGGTTCATTGGTTTGACGTCAACAATTTACTATTAAATGAACAAAAAACTAAATGTATACGTTTCACTATGCCAAACGTTAAGCCAGTGAAAACTACTGTGATAGGGCGGGGTTGGGTGTGCTCCAATAGGCAAAGATCGCCTGGATCGGATCCAATCCTGGTACGCCCTCCTGTCCGGAGGGCGTGCACGGCGAATGGTCATGGGGGAGAGCGCAACAGTCGTGTAGATCCCCATGGCAAGTCTGGGTGTCATCCTTCCCGTGGTTGCCGCCTGTTTTAGGTCTGATTCCCTACGAAACAGATATAACAGAAACACCCAGGCGCAATTCCATCCCACAAAACCTATCCTTTCCCATTTCCTATCCCATCCACACCTACTGCGGACACTAAGTGGTTGGTGCCTGCGGCCTCACTATCAACAAAGACTGAGAGTGAGGGGGAGGGGGGGCAACCACCCGCATGTTTGTGCCGTGTGCGGGGACCCGTAAGGGAGGATGAAGGGATCCTGGTAGTTGAGCTGAAAGGCAACACACTGCTTTGGCCTGGATTTCTCTTTACACGGGAGGCTGAAGGCTAGCCACCTTTGGTCAATCGGCTGTAGTATCCCGTCAGAGGGCTGCTGGGCGAGAGCTCTTCCTTTTTAGGGGTGGACGACGGGTGGGACGACCAAGTCTTCCTACCTTCTGCCAGGGAGGGAGCTCTATATTTCCTTGTCACTTCTGGCGTCGTGTGCCTTCTGCCGCGGCGTCCCCACTTGAGGGCTCCAAGGAGGGTGGAAGGACAA